TCTATTAATAAATTAATATTTCTATTCTATTAATAAATTGATAATTTTTATATAAACGAATATTCTCGAAACGAATTTCATAAATGATAAAATTTAAATTAATTTTTTTAAAATTAAAAAAAATAATATGATACATGTAATTATTTATTATTTAGTAAATAAAATTAAATTAAAAATTGTATTAATATATATTGTATATAATAATTAAATATATATATTGTTAAATAATATATCTATAATAAATAAATATATATATATTCTATAATTAATATATATATTGTTTATTAATATTAAATTGTAAATAATAATTAATATATATTAATTATAATAATAATTAATATATAATTAGTAATAATTAATATGTTGTAAATAATAATTAAATTAAAAATTGTATTAATATATATTTATTTCTTAATACCATTAATTAATAATTTTCAAAAATATCTACTAATAATTTAAAATAGTTTCTTAATATCATTAATTGATAATTTTCAAAAATATCAATAACTAATAATTTAAAATAGTTTCTTAATATCATTAATTAATAATTTTCAAAAATATCAATAATTTTATCACAATTGATTTCCCTCGGTTTCTTAAAAGTGAAATTTCTCAAAGATCCTATCTCCTAACCTAAACCTAACGTAAACCTAACCTAAACGAAGTTTTTTCCCAGAAACTCTTTCTCAGAAAGTTTGCACAAAAATATACACTTCTCTTCACCTACAGATAAAAGCTTTCTCCGCCAATTGAAAAAAAGAGAAATTAATTAAGAATAAGCATGGAGAATGATCGACGAGAATTCAAAGAATCGGACATAAATAATTTGGAGGTAAATCCCTAAGTTATTTTGTCTTCTCCTAACTTTCTTGTCCCTCTCGTATGTTTACTGTTCGTCAAACACGTTTTTTATTGTTAAAATAATTCGGCGACGCGAGCAACACTTGAGAAAGAACTTTTTTTTTTCTGCCGCAAAAGTTTGGCCACCGCTGCGCCAAGGGCAGAGAAGCTTTTTCGTTTCATCCGTTTCCATATTCGAGCGAGAGTGTGAAAAACAATTACGACTTCGTCGGCGTGGGCGGTGAGAAATAATAACAATAATAATAATTAAAATGGAGGGAGGAAAACCAAAGGGGAAAAAATGGTCACTCGCGTTGGACGTTACTGACGTTGTTCCCTGCTCGCCGGGAAAGGTCGCCATTACTATCTATAAAACGTGTTTTCGCGACTCGTTAACTAGCCAATCTTCGGCTCATCATCAGCGAGATTTCATTCCTGAACCTCGTCGAAATTATCTTTCTAACGTTTGCCATTGAAACACCACAAATATAGACTCTCTCTCTCTCTCTC